GGACCTGAACCTGTTCAGCCTTCACAAGAGAAGGCTGAGGGGAGATCTAGTGGCCATTTACAAACTAGTCAGGGGGGACCAGCAGGCATTGGGGGAGTCCCCGTTCCCCTGGGGCACTACCAGGAGTGACTAGAAATAACAGTCACAAGCTGGCAGAAGGTAGATTTAGGCTAGATATCAGGAGGCGCTACTTCATGGTCAGGGTGGCTAGGATCTGGAACCAACTTCCAAGAGAAGTGTTGCTGGCTCCTACCCTGGGGATCTTTAAGACGAGGCTAGACAAACAACTTGCTGGGATCGTTTGACCCCAGTACTTATTCCTGCCATGGCAGGGGGTCAGACTTTATGATCTGCTCAGGGCCCTTCTGACCCTACCAACTATGAAACAACTATGAAAAGTTTTTGGTCATTGTCTACAAGTGAAAGTATTAATACATGCTCAGCATGTTTGGTCACTTGTTATTCAGGTATTTTCAAGAAAAAAAAAGATGATGTGCATCAGGACTGTTTCTGAGGGGATTGAGATCTAATTAGTCAAAGATAAGATGAGTGAGGAAGAAAGTGAGGTTTCTACTCTGCACATAGAGGATGGATAGAGCAGAAGTGGTTAATCCTGTAGAGTAGAGCAGAGTACTGCTTCTGTACTGTATGTTTCATAGTTTTTAGGGTCAGAAGGGACCTGAGAAGATCATCTAGTTCGACCCCCTGCCATGGCAGGAAAGAGTACTGGGGTCAAACGACCCCAGCAAGGTGTTCATCTAACCTCTTCTTAAAAACCCCCAGGGTAGGAGCCTGCACCACCTCCCTTGGAAGTTGGTTCCAGACCCTAGCCGCCCTGACCGTGAAATAGTGCCTTCTGATGTCTAACCTAAATCTACCCTCTGCTAGCTTGTGACCGTTGTTCCTGGTCACTCCTGGCTGTGCTTGGGGGAACAGTGACTCCCCCAATGCCTTCTGATCCCCCCTGACCTTTATGTTAAAGTTGCTAAAATGCTTTGAATATGAAAAAATGTGTTTAAATGTCAACCGTCTTTTCTGGAACAATACAGACAGTTGTTTACATGTTTTGCCATGATCATCAGGCAGTTTGGAAGATGACCTTTGGCCAATCCAAGCAGTTTCTTAGACCTGTATACAGTACACAAAAATGTTAGGTGAAAGTTTTATAGTCAATTGAGAAAAGATTTGATTTGTTGGGCTCCAGAGATCTAGCTTCTAGACACAGAATGAATTAATACAGTAGAAGAATTAAGGCTCCTTCCAGTACCTTCAAACCAAATTTTGATTTTCAAACTGTTTTGACTTTAATGAAAAGTGTTCCAACAACCTTGTTTCCTTAATAGTGTAACCCTTCTGCCAGGCACCAGCCGGCAGCAAAGGCCAGGTTCAATTTTGGGGTACAAAATATATTTTTACTTTGGCTCAAGCCCCTACCCAGACCACCTGGGAAATGCTAAATTAATTACTCGGGTGTCCTGCATAAACACCCCCTCCTTGCAAACAGTAAACACAAGCATCCAAATTTATTACAAAGAATAAAACAAAAAACAAAAGAAAACATTAAACAATTTCAAGGCACTATTACTACAAAGCAAATTCTATAGCTGGCATCTTTTTGGGGGAGGCTTCACCCATACCCTGACAGTCTGGGACTTTGGGCTCCCCAGCAGGTAGCTTCGGGGACCTGCACCCCTATACCTGCCCATCAGCAATGGGCTGGAGGGGCGCCCACAGAGAGTCCCAAGCTGCTCCTTGGGTTCACTGCACTGCAAGGAGCTGCTTGAGAGAGTGTGGGTCCTTCTGCATTGCAAGGGATTCTGTTGCTCCTGGAGATGTGGTACAACGCTGACCTCCACTTCCACATGATGTCTTTGAGGAGTTAACCGCAGCTTTTGTCAGCATACCGCATCCCCCAGAATTCCCAGTCCCAATCCTAGCTCTGCTGGACAGAAAACTGCACGAGAACTTGAAGCAAAGGTAAGACCTATCTTGGCTAGTGCCTGAACTACAACTAGCACCCAACCACACTGCTTCATTGGGGCAACTACAAAAGAAGGCCTAGGCCTATTATGCTGGGCTTGAACTGGGCAGCAAAGCCAACCAGGCCTATACCACCTACACAATTCATGCCAGGTCTCACCCTGGCTCAAACTGTGCCAGGCTTCACCCTGGTCCAAATCTGCCAGCCTAACATATGGCTGAGGTACAGCCATACAGCTAAGCTGAAATGCAATAGCTGTGAAACAGGCCTGAGCCCTTTTTGCTATGTCTGCAGTCTGGACATCCAGTCTCAGCTACACCACTGTGCTGAGATGCTACATTTCCCAAAACACAGGAGCCAGTAACTGCCAGGACCTGTTCCTGGTCAGCCTGCTCCAGGGATTAAAAAATAAATAAATACAAGAACAAAAGACGATAAGAGGGAGGAAATAGGAGTCAGACTCCAAGACAGACAATCTCTCTCTCCCTATACCTATGGCTTTCCCTTCAAATAGCTTTTGCTTGCCTTTACAGTGAAGAGTGGGGGAGACAGCCCCTCCCCAGCCCCCCATGGGGAGCAGTTCTTCTGGCTCCCAATAGAGCTGTGCAGCTCTCAGCAGCCTGAGAAGAAAAAAAAGCAAGAAGCCTTAGGTGAGCTGTTCTTATATATTTGGTGTGACATCGCCAAAGCCTTGTCCAGTTAGGGACTGCCACACTCCAGCCTCTCTCACTCAATTTGCCTGGAAGATCTTCTGCTTCCTCTGGCCAATGAAGCCAGAGGGTTTTTACATATATTGCCCAAATACAGGCCCCAGCTTGCCATGTGCTGAGCACATGGCCAGAACCACAAGGGCCATCTTGCCCACACACACTGGGTTGTGCATTGTGTATTTTTTTTCCATGGGTGTGGGTGTTACAGTAGTAGCTACACATTGAAATATGTAGAACAAGGAACATCTGTGCCTCTTGGTTTCATTGTTTTAAAGAAAATATTCTGCAACACACAAATGAAGATACAAACTAATGAAAGAAACTAAAGAAAGTGGAACACAAAATCACCTTGCCATCCAAGCAGTGGAGCAGATAAAAAACCACAAACTGCATAGTGGTGGGGTCTCCAGTATGGGGGACCAAACCTCTTAAAACTGAAAGCATGAATCTCTTGTGGACAAGGTAAAAAGACCCAGTTCTGCGAGTATCAGTAGCAGGCTCATAAGCATTCAGCCACCACCAGACAAGGACGGACCACTCAACTGGATGCGTGTAGGTTACACAAAAAGTGAATAAGTGCTCTTAAGAGTGAATGTCATAAGCAAAATCTGCCATCATAAATTGACTTGACTGTCCAATGAAAGGAAGAGTAGATTTCTTACCTTACAAAAGAGCTTGCAAGGAGTCCAAGCAACCCCACTGCAGCTCCAGTAACAGCTACTTTTCGGCAGCCAAATATGTCTGTGAACACACTGACAATGGGAGAGCAGAAGAAGATCATTCCCATAGACAGCGAACTCACCCATGCTGTAGAAAAACAGAAGATTGATGTTAAGAATATACTGCTTGATTTTCAATCTTCAGCTACATGAAGTAATAGTAAACAGTAGTAACTTCATTTTGCTTTAATAGAAGCAACACAGACATGTATAGTAAGAATAAAGCAAACTGTCAGCTACTTCAACACGTACTCTAACTGCAACAAGGTAAGCAAAACTGGAAGTTACCACTACTAGTAATGCAGTCAATCAGGGGTTGTCAGCTAGGGGTACACAAACCCCCTGGGAGTATTTGGGAAGGCCCTAGGGGGTACACATGGGTTGAGGGGGATGAAGCACCACCATCCACCACTCCATGGCACCACCTCCCAGGAGCACCCCTCTGCACTGCTGCCGTCCACCACCCCTCTGCCACCCTCTGCATCAAACCATGTGCCATCCCCCACACACGCACCTGGCCACTGGGAGTACACTTACTAAAAAAAAGGTTGAAAACCCCTGTTAGATGATATTTTGTAACAAAAACAAATACATAAGTGTACAAGCCTTATTTTATTTCTCTTGGAGCTGCTCTAATTAAAGTGCCCCTTCCCCCACCCTCCCTAGAGCATGTGTATAAATGCCCTAAAAGTCTGTAGTGAAAACATTCAAATCAAATTACACACCATTAACAACAAGCTGATTTTGCCATTCTGACATTTCAGGTATACTCGGGGTCTCTTTATGTGAGGGTTGCATCCCAAAAAACCTTGCATAAAATGAATTCGCATAAAGCAAATCCATTATTACATGTAATTAATGGGTATATGTACCAGCCTCCTTTTTCCCTTCATGGCTGGCTCAAGAGGGGGGGTGGTTAGGAGATGTACTAGAAGGTTGCTTAGACATTTCACTAAATTCAATAATAAAAGGCAAATAGATGCACCACAATACAAGTGCAAGTAGCACAGCACCACACGGACCAATGGACAATGCAAGATTGAGGCAAGTGTGTGATGGCATCGCATACCCACCTCACTCACCCTCCCTTAATGCTTTACCTCACATCACCGCACAGCCGTGTTGCATGCTTCTTCACGTAAGATCGAATTTCTCACATGAAGCAAGTTTCTAGTATAGGTAAGGTCATTGCACATAAGCAAATTTACACAAAATGAATTCACATAGAGAGACCCGAGTATACTAATGAAAGCAACATGCATTTCTTATCACTTGACTCCTTTCTGTTATAGCACTGATTGGCAAAACCTAAAATGGAAATTTGTTCCACTGCAGTTCTGTACAGTAGACAGAAGACAAGAGTGAAGGGCATTTCAGACTAAATCTTCATGCTTGTCTAAAGCAGGAAGTCTTTTTAGCCATGTTTTATTTTTCAAGCAAGACGAAGTCGGGGTGCTCAAAATCTGGCATGGCTGGATTGGGGCCACACTTGCCCTGGGCAAGGAACTGGGTCCACTAGTCATATCTGGCTGTGGAGAGACTGGGGGCTGCCCATCCAGCCCACTGGATGAAAACAACAGTTGTAAGTGATTTTAAACAAGTCTGTTACAACAAAGAAAAATGCTTAGCAGTCAGAATTGGGAGTCAAAGAAGAAGAATTTTATTCTCAGCTTTGCCAACAAAATTGCTGAGACAGTAAGTTTCCCTCCTGTGCAACTGTAAGGGGAACAAAACTTACCCACTTGAAACCAATGTTGAAATCTTTAATTCATTAACATATGCAAAGCACTACAAAAGCCTTGATTCCCATTGAAATATCAATTAGGAAAGTTTTTTTCAGGGGTGCTTTTTAAATAAAACTTTGTCAATTAAAAACCATGTAGAAACTGACAAGAAACTACACTCAAATTATTGATATTGCCCTTTATTTTAAAGTCACCTTTGAAATACAGTTAAGACATTTTAAAACAGAATGCCAAACTTGCATAACATATTAGTTTCCTTAATATGGAAAGTTCAGGGCAGACAAATGTTTGTGCAACATCCGGATCAGAAACTGAAATTTAGTAAAATCACACACTAAATTCATTTTTTCTTAGCTGAAAATGTATAGACTTACATTAACCCTAACCCAAACATCATCCCTTACTTGACACCTCTGCCTTCCCTTTAGAGCAGGGGTGGGCAAATTATGGCCCATGGGCTGCATCTGGGCCACAGAGCCCCTAAAAAAGATGTAGAAAATTAATATTTCTCTGCCCTTGGTTCCTGTCAAAAAATGACAGGATCCAAGGGCAGTAGGACCCAGGGAAAGCCCGGCGGGATCCAACAACAGTGGAGCCACCTGGGCCCACCCCCCACAGCTGAAGCAGGTGGCTGCCCTGTGCTGGAGCTGCAGGTAAGCAGGGGGGAGAAGGGCAGGGGGGACCCCGGGCAGGGAAGGAGTGTAGGGGGGGAAGCGGCCCCTTCCCCCGCCCCGTGGCCAGTGCCCCCTGATACAGCTGCTCACAGCCCGTGTGAGGCTGCCTGTGCCTGCTCCAGACAGCCCTGTGCAGGCTGCAAGTGGCTGCAGCAGGGAGCACCGGCCATGGGCTGGGGGAGGGACCACTTTTCCCCCTGTGCTCAGCTTTTCCCTGGGCTCCTTTCCTGCGCAGAGAAAAGCAGCCCCTCGCCTGCCCCATGGATTGCGCTCCCTGCTGCAGGCACTCACAACCCATGCAGGGCTGTCTGGAGCAGGCACAGGCAATCCCAAGAGGGCTGCAAGCGGCTGCAACATGGGGCACCAGGCATGGGGCAGACAAGAGGCTGCTTTCCCCACTCCCCCCAATCCCCCCCCCCACATGCTCAGCACTACCTTGTAACCCGGCCCTACTGCCAGGCTGGCAGCGGGGCCGGGTTACAAGCTGGTGCTGAGCGCAGGGAAGAGCGGCTCCTTGCTCAGTGGGGCCGGTGCTCCATGCTGCAGCTGCTCGCAGCCCACTGGGGCTGCCTGTGCCTTCTCAGCGTCTGCAGCAGGGAGCACTGGCCATGGGGTGGGTAAGGGGCTGCTTTTCCCTGCGCTCAGCACCAGCTTCTTCCCTGCCAGTAAGCAGGGGCTCGGAGCTGTGCCCTGCACCCCACCTGTACTGCAGGGCTGGGGGGGCACTGGGTGCGAGTAGGCAGGGAGCCAGTGGGAGCATGGGGCCCACACCAGTGTCCCAGGGCCAGCACCAGTGGGGCACAGGGCAGAGTAGCAAGAATGCAGGGTCCCAGCTGGCAGGGGTTCTATGGAGCTGGGCCAGCTCCCCCCTCTCCCTGCTGGTGCAGCCTGCGCCCAGGTCCATGGACCCCTGCCAGTCTGCGCCCCACTTTGGGCCCCACCAGTGCTGGCCCTGGAACATTGGTCCCAAGATGGTGACCAGGGGGCGGGACACCTGTCAAGGGCTGGGGCTACCCATGCAGCCCTCGACAGCTTGCCAAAACTGGGTAAGCAGCCCTCTGCCTGAAATAATTGCCCACCCCCACTTTAGAGAGAGTAAAAAAAATCTTTCATTTGGTTTCAAATACAAATCTCAGTAATCCCAAATAAAAATATGCAGTTTCATGAAAAATGTCACTAGCAAAACTAATGGGGATTTTATGTAGTGGTTTTTCATGCAATTAAAAATAATGCTTCTTCAGGCTGCTGGCTCTTTTCCTGGCCACATCCTGGCTCCATTCCAAAGCTGCTAATACAGGTATTTATATAGGAACTAATTTCTACATATGACTATATATAAAATGTTTTTACTGCCAGAGGAGAAATGCAGCAATCCCAAGCTCACTTGCAGCTTTGGCAAAGAGGGGAAGAGGAAGACTTAGTCTCATTTGTTAGAAACGAGTCTACAGCTGAACAAGGAATAGGCTTTGCCCCACAAGTACACGAAGTAATAGCAGATCAGCTGTTGCCCTACTAAGCTTGAGGCTAATTTTTACAAAAAATTGTGGCTTTCCCACACGAAGAATTTTTGTACTCATTTAACTTGTATAAACACAGCAAATGCTACAGGTGAGGCTGCCTAAACGCTTTCATCCTAAAGAGGCCTTTGCCAGTTGCCTACAACTGTCAAAACCTTCACCTTTTATAATGAAGTTGTCCAAATCTGGTTTCTTCCTGGGGGGCAATTTCAATTAGGATATAAACAGTTTTGCAATTTGATTGTGTAGAGGGCTTTAAAAAAAAAAAAAGTCACGCTATTAAAAAGTGACTTAACCAGTTCTGGCACCTCAGAAATTGGGGTAAGTTTGAAATTTTGAACGTTACGCAACTTCTGTGGTCCAATGAAAAATGATCTGAAAAAGTTATGAATGGCTTTTAAATGTGCTTTATGCATGCAGAATAATAAGTCTTTCCCCACAACTTACTACTGCAACAAAATCAGATTTATATTTTTATACACTGGAAAATAGCAATGAAACTAGAGCCTATCACCTCCTCCAGTGCAGTCACAGGCACACTCCCTTTTCAGCATAAACAGTTTATGGAAAACAGCATTTTTAATAGTAGAATGCCAAATTATAGATATGAAGTTAAAGCCATATGTATTAATAATCTTAAAGCTGCAAGCAAAGTGAGGCACTGGATAAAAAGATAAGTTAGCTTATAAAAGGGAGCATGACATGGTTACTTTATAGCAATAGCAAAGGACTGAAAGCAAAAAACCTTAACAGGGTTAAGTAAAGGTACAGTTAAAAGTACCTTAACAGTAATAGTACTGTGTAGTCACTAGGCCTCACTACTTCAAGATTTTGAAACAAGATTTATTTCAGATTTTGCAGTAAGATTTATGCAGTTTAAAAATAATTAGACATTTATGTAATTAAGTGATTTTATACTACATAAACCAAAAATAGATAAGGAAAATCAGCTTTCAGATTGAAGACTTAAATTCACATTAGCTATTGGAAGACAAAAAGGATTATAAGAAGCTTTCCCAAAAATATTATTGCATGCTTTATCCATTTTACACCTTCCTCTGAAGTACTGGTACCATCGGAGAAAGGATACCAGACTACTTGGACCATTTGTCTACTCTGTACTGAAATTGATGCACTTAACCTTCAGAGCAC